CCTGAGGTTGGTGGCTTTCGTGCACGACTTCGCGTCACGGGTTTGTTTGGACTCGTCCGAACTCGGAATTGAGTTTCGTTTTTTCCTGCTCGTCCCCAACTAACCCTCTACTTAATTATGCTTGCACGGTCCATTTTTGTTCAAAATTCGTTTCTCCCGAAACTTCCGACCTACATACCACAAACGAAGAAAAACCCAAAAAACACACAAATAACACAAAGAAAACTAAAATAAGGGAACACACGCAATAAACTACAAAACGAACTACAAAACAACGAAAAGACCTAATATAAGGGGAAAAAGAAAGGCAAAAATGGCAACGAAAACGCAACAATAATGAGACAAACATCGCCAAACTTATGTTGTTGCTGGCGAGGCCATACAATACCGAACTAATCGCATCGCTCTACCGAGCTACTTCTATCCTCTATGCCGGGCTACTAGCACAAAATGTTGGGCCGAACGACTAATATAGCTATAAAGCCGAGCCATGAACCGGACTGTTAGTATGACTGAACTACATTTATGGACGAGCTGCTAGTCCATCAGAGACCAATATGGCCGAGCTACAACTAGCCGACCTACGACCCTAACCGAGCCGATACATTAGCTTTGTTACAAATATAAGTATGAACGATGCATAAAGCCAACCTGCTAGATCAGACTATTACTATGACGAGCAACCCCTATATTGAGCTCTCCTCGCTCTTAAGCCCCTCATTAACCGAGTTATTGTTAAGCCAGGCTATTCTTATGTATCCTATCAATTCCGGTGGTTTGTGAACCAAGCTGTACAATCCGGTTTTACCGAGCTAGTTCTATGTGCCATATCAAGTGGCAAAAAGATACTGTGCCACTCATTTGGCCATTTGCAGATCGAAGATACAAAAGCAAAATAGAGAATTTATGTTTATTTCGTTCAAATCAAATACACAAATTGAGAGTCATAAAAACAAATAAAGCATCAGGCTATTGTTTTACAATACAGAAAGACAAATCCATATACTGATAAGCATTCCATGCAAATATTACACAAAAAGAGTACATCCCCAAATTCTTATTTCTCTTCCATTCTCCGTCCATGATAATGTACGCTACGCTCTCACTGCACATGCTTCTCGTGGAAACTTTTATTCCGATTCATTCAAAATCGGAACAATTAAAGGTTTCATTTGTGACAGGTAAACAATGGCCCACCTACACATTGCCATAGAACAAACTGAATGTTGAGAAAATAGCGGAGCTGCATGAATATTTCCATGGAAAATAAACAGCAGACAAGAACATTGAATTCCTGCTAAAAGGATAAAAAGCTTATGGTCAATGCTATTTTGCCTTCAGTCTATTTCTAATCCTTCCTAATCTAGAGGAATTTTATGATTTTCTAATGAGCGCACAACAGCTGACTTGCTACGTGACTTTTGACGTCTGCTGGACAGGGACTCATTTCATTCATCAAATAATTAATTTGGTGAGAAAGAAAAGGCAAAAACGAGCTGGAAATCGAATCAGCTACTACTTGACAAGATGGAAGAACGAAACAATAATATTTAATGCTCCTTTTGTTTCATTTTATTATCCAAAAAGAAGTGAAACAAATCTGCCTTACATTTAATGATAAGAATCAAGTGCAAGATCATTTGCCACTGGAGAAAGGATCGGAAATGGAGTGAACTATGAATCTCCCAACTCACAAAAAAGCAATATATAAAAAAAAATATATATATATATATATATATATATATATATATATATATATATGTCTAGCTTTCAGACTATGTGCAATACGTCCAAAAAAAAGAACAAAAAAGACGAGCGTGCAGTGTGCAACATACTATGGTCTTAGACTCTTAGTATAAATTGATGTGAGCTACATTTTCAAGCCCTACATGCCACATCAATGGCAATCTGGTGGTTAAAATCTTCAAAAATAGGGCATTACTGATATCTAGTAGCTCAAAAGAGAATTCAAGACATATCCACCAATGTACACTTAAATATTACTAAGTTCTTCTATTTTAATTCGTTGTTTCAAGATATATCCCCCCATCCACAATATATGATATTATACTAATCAACACAGGAAGTTTTATAAGTTCTCTGGAATACTCAGACCATACACATAAAAAACATTTCATATTCAACAGTAGATCAACAGATTTTTTGTTAGATGCAAATAAAGACAATGAACTTACATCATCCAGCAGCACACTGTTGCTGTAATTATCAACGTCAGGTGTAATCTGGAGGAGCAGAAAATAAATTAAACACATGCATCAGAGATAGGAGATTAACCTCTGGAAAAATAAAAGATGTGATTTAACAAAAGATGCAACTCCTCTATTTATGCATAGCTCAAAGTAGACGAATCAACGATTACGAACGATAAATGTGTAAGTTCTATCAGACAATTCACCATAGCAGACTGTTCTTTG